GGATGACCCTGTCCAAGCTGGGAGCTGGATCCACTTACTCAGTTAACAGGTTAAACCTAAGGTTTAGCTGGTGAAGTGATGAGCTGGGATTTTACATCCCCACCTCCCCTGGCAGAGGACAGACAGAGCTTGGGATGCAGGGGGTGGGGCTACACAGGGGAGACAGCTCAGGGAGGGCAGAGGAGCAGAGCGAGGACTGGGGCTGCGTGTGGGCAGTATCGGGAGGGAGGGAGGGAGTACTGAGTGGGGGCTGGAGGGGTCAGGAGAGGAGAGGGGCTGGTGTGGGAGGTGGTAACAGAGGTAGCTACAGAGGATGTTACTCAGTGGCTAATACAGAGTATGGCACAGCCTGGGTCCAGTGCCCAACTCTACCAGACGTTCACTATGTGACCCTAGGCAATGCTCTTGAGTTGATTGGTGCCTCAGTTTCCCCACCTGTACCATGGGGATAGCAGCACTGCCTTGCCTCACGGAGCGGTGAGGGTAGCTGCTAGGGACCAGGGGTGGGGTGCTCTGGAACGGGAGTGGTGGGCAGCCAGGTAAGTAGCTGAGGCAGAATGTTAAACTGGGTGTTTAGCAGCTAGTTCCCTCTCCCCCCAAAAGTGATCCACAAAATAGCATCTCTGAAGGGGCAGGCCTGTTGGGAGACATTTGGGGCCATGGTACAGGCCCTACCCCCCTCTCAATTGATTTTATTGATCTTATTTACACAGACGCTGGAGAAGATTTGGGGGGGCCCTGAGCTCAAGTCCCCCCTTTGCCTCCTGTCTCATCACCAGCCCCTGAGAGGGGCTGCTGTGGGGTTGGCCATGATCCTGGCCTGAAGGACTAGTTTAGATTATCCCAGTGATTTTCTGGGGTGGGGCTAAGTCATTTCCCCTCCCTGGGGTGATGCCAATCAGCTCCCTGGAGGGTAATGCAGGAGCTGGGAGCATCAGCTAGCGGTCAAATAGCATTTGGACCTCCAAGGCAGGGCCTAATCCCAAACCCACAGAGCAGGTTCTTCTAGTGCATGCTGCTCAGCCAGGTCTTGAACCCTAGCCTGGGGCTCCCCACACAACTGCTGCAGCGGGGCACCCACCCAGGGTCTGCTGAGTCGTGAAGGGCCCACAAGCTAATAGGACTAAGCAGTGGCCCCCGCCATGGCGCCCGCCGGGCCATGTATGTGCACCTGCCGAACAATCTGGGCCGGCTCCACCCCCAGGCGCCCGGCAGCCCCAAAAGTTTGGGGACCACTGGTCACGAAAGTGTCAGCCAGAGCTCCACCCACCAGAGCCCTGATTGGTGGATCCCCCCAGCTTCACTGATTGGTCCAACCATGCTATTTAAGCAGGAGGAAGTAGGCAGTTTGTCTGAGTGACAAGGTGGTTTCCTGTTGTGGGTACATGCAGCCTGGCTGTGTGCTGGCTCTCTGCTCAGCCCCTGCCTTGCTCCATT